TTTTGGAAAACAGTATTAATGGGTAGCTAAACTGTGCACCCCCCATATTTATTCATATCACCAAATGTGTTTTGAAATGTTTGTGTTTAAAGTAGCTAAATCTACTTCTGAAGATTCTATAGTTCATAATAGTCTGAAATGAATAAATCATTGATTCTTTTTGCTATTTCTGTCTCATTTTTATTTCTAAGTTTTTAATGTGGTGTGTATGTGCATGCACATTTGTGCTTATAAAACACTTTTTTAATCCTCATAAATGTTTTGCTATCATAGTGTAAAATAGTGTATTTGAGAACCTTGAAAAAAATGTTCTTTCATTTATCCAACAAAGAAGACTCAGATAGAAGTGACTGAGGATGTGAAATGATTGTTAGTATGGGAACAAAATAAAAATTTGAAAATCCTCCCATTTCGTCTGAGTTAAGTTTATAATTGAACAAAATTATTGAAACCTCTTAGGGAACTGATTGAGGTGACCTAATTCTTAACTAATTGAAGTTCCAGAACAGAGTTTATCTTTCATTTTACTGAAAAATATCTGTTTAAGTAATTTTACTTTATCACGTGACAATAAGATTTATTTGAGTCAGGAATGAGCACGGTATTATAAGAGTGGGAATGCTTTTGAAAGCATGTCTCTATCTACATTGAGGGGTGTTTGTAGGCCAGCGTGTGCTTCAGTGTCATCACTTATAAACTGGGGTAAAATCTTGCAGGTTTTAGGAAGATTAATGAGATAATAATTGTACAGCACCTGTGGGAATTCTTTTACCATATTTTCATAATTTAAGGTGCACCAGTTTTATTGCAGTACAAGAAGGAAGTGACTTGTTTTAAATTAGGCCAGGTGAAATTTTACACCTCTGTGAAGAAACTCTGGTTAATAAGTGTAGTGCTGTTTTTATATGGTTTTAAAGTCGTGAGTATCATATACTACATGAAATACCTAATTTGCCTGGGGGGGTTAAACATTATATTTCTAAGATTTATTTCAAAATCAGTAATATGCTAGTTGATTCATATTAGCGCTCATTATATGAACCTTTATACTTTGTTCTCCACTTGATTGTTCAGTTTTTTTACAGTTTTTTAATAGACAGTTCTTCATCATTATTGGACATACTTCTTTATGCACATGTGCAAAGGTTTAGGGTGTCTAGGAAAAGAATTTTGGAGGCTCTCCCATGCGTGGGCACACGCACTCTCTATCTTTATGTATATATTTTGTTTTATTTTTAAAGATTTCTTATTCATATAAGAACTGGGGTACACGCTAGAGGTGTGTGTGGGGGGTGGTGGTGGTGGTGGTGAGAGGATTCACCAGAGACAGGGTAGGGAGCAGAACAGGCAGACTGAGTGAAATACGCTGCTGAGGGAAGCAGTGGGCGAGCCAGGAGAGGTCTGCTGCACCATGTGGGTTGCTCCCTGGGTGGGGATCAAATTCATGCTCAGTGTCTTGTGTCTTAACCCCTTGCATCACCAGGGAGGCCCTGCATGTATCTTTAATTGTATTAAGTACTGCCTAATTGTTCTCCAGAGCAGTTGTACCGTCTCTTGTCAGCTATGTGGAGCTTTCAGTCACCATTGTTCCATTCTTTCCCTGGTCTTCATTGTCATTAAGACTCTTTTTTATTTGCCTGGTGTGTAGGAATTCAGTTGATTTTTCTTTTCCTCACCTACCTCATATCGAAATGTAATTTACATGCAATAAAATTCACCATTTCTTGCATACAGTTTGATTGAATTTATAGTAACTGTATAAAGTCTCCTGCTATCACAATGTAGCATTTCTAGCACCCTAAAACGTTTCCTCCTGCTGGGCCTCCGTCGTGGCGCAGGGGTTAAAGACAGCGCTATCAAGCTATCGCCAGCCACTGCAGCATGAGTTCAAACACCGGCCAGGGCGCAGCAGACCTCTCCTGCCTCCGCTGCTCCCCTCAGCAGTGTATTTCAGTAGATCTGCCTGTTGTCCCCACTCTCTGGCGAATCCTCTCACCCCCTGCACCTCTGGCTTATACCCCAGTTCTTGTATGTATAAATAAATCTTTTTTAAAAAAACTTTTAAAAAGGCTTTTTCCTGCTTCTTCAGTTTTCCTTTCACCCATCCCTTGACCATGGCAGCCATTAAATTGTGTTTTGTTATTATAGTGCTGCCTTTTCTGGAATTTCATAAAAATGGAATCATGCCATTAGGTAGTCCTCTGTGTTGGGACTTGGGACTAGCATATTCTTGAGATTCATGTGTTATCCATCTGTTAGTGATGGTCACAATCCATAGTCACTAGCCATCTGTGGCTTGTTTCTAGTTTGGGCCTTTTTGAATAATAAATGCTATGACTTCATATGTATATATTTGACTTAATTAACTTGCTTATTGCTCTCAGGCAATATTACTTATTGGTTTAAACAACTTACTTTCAAGTATTAAAGTTTAATCATTTAAAATATGCTTAAAGATTTTTGTCTTGAATGCACTTTAATCCCTCTCTGTGACTCAGACTGTAATATGGGATGCCATTTATCTGTCATATGTAATGTTATTCTTGACTGTAAATTGCTTAAGACATGAGCCATGGCTTAATCACATTTGAATTTCCTACAGGGTCTAGCATACGACATAGCAAACAACCGGCCCTTAATAAGTGTTGAACTGAGCTTTAAGTACCTGGGGCTTCTGGCCTTTTTTTTTCCCTCCCCAAAATAACCTGTGTCTTGTGTGTCATGAGTTCTTACATTGCCCTCCACCCCCTTGTGCTTGTTGTTGATGAGGCCTTAATGGGCTATCACAAAAAAAAAAAGTTTTAAAACATCTAAATGTCATTCACCTATCAAATATTTGTTGAGTGACAACCAAGCCTCAACCTTGTCTTAGAGCTACCCATAATATAAAAAGAATATGGCTGGATATTCATACCAACTTTACAGCCTCGTAGGGAGAGGTAAGATCTGTATATGAATCATTCTAGTGCAAGGTAGAAAGTGGTCACTAGAAATAGGGAATAAAAAAGAGAGTTCATCAAAGAGGTGAATTTGCAAGACCTGTTAGCTCTTTTATGAAACACCTCACTGTCGTGCATGGACTTTGATGTCACATTATTAAGATTCTGAGCAAATGATCAGGGATAAGTGAAGTGTTTTCTGAGTTAAATTCTTTGAGGAAGAAATATTTTTAACTTTTTGTCATAGTCCTGAATTACAAACTTTGTAGCATGGTATCCATGGGACCTTTATTAATCTGTACCAGTTACCTCTGCATGCTAACTTCTTCTACCCCTCTGCATTTCTCTTGGGTACTCCAGCCATAAAATCTGTGACTCCTTTATTCTCATTCTTTGCCCTACATAAAATGCACTTTAACTCTCTCATCTGTGTGGGTAATGCATATATGAGCTTGTACATTCTACTCCAATATCTTCTTCCTTGGGAAGCTTTCCTCAAGTGCTGTCACCCCTTCTGTGCTCTCTACGTCTCTTTATGACATATATACCTCTCATCGAGACCCTCTGCCAAGAAACAGATCATTCAGCTCAGTCTAGAATATAAAGAGAACCTAAATATGATATGGGTCTTAGTATATGTATATATCATATACTAAGGACAATGCAGAGCTCTTGGCTCATTGTAGAGGTTTATAATTCTTGAAATTATTGTTCATTGAACAGTTAAAAATGCATATAAAAAGATCTGGAAACATGTCATCTATTTGATAGTTGGGACTACATATTCCTTTACAACTATTTGCCCAGGTTCTTTGGCTACTCACTTGCTGCTACTGGAGAAGAGAACCTGCCAACACTGGGTGGGTGTTGAACATATATTTGACTGTCTCAGCAGCTGATACCAAATGTTCAGAAATGACTCTCTCCATCTGTCATTTTCATCCTTTTACCCTGCCTCCACTCAAAATTGTTTAAGCTAGGACCTATCATCTCTTTAGATGTTTGTCAGACAAGTGCGCAAACAAAACTTCATACTCATGTCATTCAAGTTTCATATTACATTGTGATTCCATGAAGCTCTTATAACTTTCTATTCATAGATGGAATGTCTTAACTTGTCTTGATAAATTCCTCTAGGCTTTTTCTTGTTACATACTACTTCCTTGCAGTACACTGGTTGTCTTAAGTTTACATACAGTACGTTGACAACCATACCTACTATAGCAGAGTGTAACACACAGTATTTGATTAAGTCCTTAGATGGAACAGCGTTTATTCTGCACTGTTAAATCTTATATAACAAAGCCTCAGTCTCAACCTCAGCATACACTGTCTAGCTACCCTTAAATTTTTTGTGGTTGACTGGAACATGTGGGATTCAACTTTTCCCCGTATAGTACCAAGTTAAAATTCCTCATCTTAGAATTAAAAACAGCTGTAGCTTTTCATTCTGTCTTAACTGAATTCTTGTCAGTTATATTCAGCATTGCTCATACGGTTTTTCTTCCAAGTTTTCTTTATATCCTATTAACTGTGAAGATGTAGGTCAAGATCACTTTCTTTTCTCCCTAAAGCCATCTCATATTGAATTTTACAAGTAGAGAATGCATTCCTTTACTTAGGTGACTGTACATGTGCACTACTAACTAGAACATGTTTTATTATGTGATTTCAAGTCAGTTGGAATCTTTTGCTGCCTGTGCTAGTTCTTGAGCCACTAGTTATGTAACACCGGCACTTAATCTCCTTTGTCAGCCATTTGCACATGAACCAGGGCAAAAATGAGAAAGTAACTATAACTCTGAAGTGATAGAGGGACTCAGTTAGAATTGTATAGGGAATAAGCATCTAAAAACTGCAAATATCATGACCCCAGGATGTTCTAATGCTAAATTATTTACTTGAGTGGAAATCATTTCCAAGTTGATTTTAGAGACCTGACTCCTTTGGTCTTTTTATTTTCTTTGTAAAGTGATAATCCCAAAAGTTTCTTTCAGTCCAATCTTTATGTAATTCTGAGAGGAGCTATGATATTGACCATGAGTCTGTTTCCTATTTTAGGACCCAGATGAAGTGGTACCAGTTGGCCAGAGAAGAGCCTGGTGTTGGTGCATGTGCTTTGGACTAGCATTTATGCTTGCAGGTGTCATTCTGGGAGGAGCATACCTTTACAAATACTTTGCACTTCAGGTAAGTGGAATATATGCTAAGGACCTTTTGCCTTTCCTTCAAGTAAATTTGAAAATTGGCCCTGACTTGCGTGAAGACTGTACTTTTTGTCTGTACATCACAGAGTGGTGGTCCTTTTATAAAGCTGTGCTTAAAAATCTCTTGATAGATTCACAGAGACTTTTAGAAAGACAGTCACTAAAAGCAGAATAACATTGTTACTGCTGATGTAGGGGCATAGGTCATTGGATGATTTTTCGAAACCAACTAACCATCACTTCCTACCAGAATTAATGGCTAAGGTGTAGTAGTATTAATTGCCAATTGAATAAATACATCAGCCACGAAAGTGACATTGCTAGATTTAGGTGGTAGCTAGTGTGGGCTCTCCCACAATGGCCTTTTACCCCTTGGCACCACTTCTCTCTGCCTCTTTCCTAGTCACCCATTTCTCTTAAAGAATTGTGTGACTTCAATAGTAATATTGAAATAACTTTGGATGAAAGTTGTTCATAACTTAAAGTGTTTAATAGTAATTGTAGCGGATTAAGACACCTAATATCATGATTTCTAATCAGGGATTATTTCTGATATATTTCTCTTGGCAATAATTAACTTCTCTTTTTTTAGCATTTTTAAAATTGGAGAAATTGACAAAGTGATTTTACTAGAATGAAACATTCTGTCAGAGGATGTATGAATTTCATGTTCATTTTCTGTATTTTTTGAGATGATGGCATGTTATAGACATTACTGAAATACTAGTCACCTTTTGTTAATAAGAATTTTTACAAGAAATAAATTGATATGCAAAAATATCATTTCCAGTTCTGCCATCCAAAGATATTTGTTGTCTTACATTTTTAGTCTTTATTATATTTACTTTCTTAAAAAACATGTTTTGTAATGATTTACTGTAATCTGATATCTTCCACAAAATTGTGATATATTTTAAGGAAAAGTCAGAACTGCTGGTATAACTATGGAAATTTCAGAAAAATTATCTCTTTTGGCTAATTAGAAAAAAATCATTTTATCAGTGAGTCATATCAAAATTTTTAAAATAACATTATTTCAGAAGAAACATTTAGCTTCTGAATATAATCTTTTATCAAAATAATGCCTACAGATAGATATACACCTATGAGTTTGTTCAGATTTACTTGTCTCCAGATTGCTTTGATACTCTATTTCTGTCGACCACAAAGAATAAAGGGAAAATCAGCTGCTTCTTGTGGAGCCTTTTTTTTTTTTTTTTCCTTAAACAATACTTCAAAACCTGATCTTAAAGAATATGTTAACTCTAATTAAATTGTCGGACTTGTCATCTGAAAGTAAGAGTTTGCAAGCAAGATGCTATTTAGATAGAGGTGGTAGCTTAAGTAATGCTTATATTTAAAAACCTGTCTCCCACTGAATTGCTGAAATAGTGTTTAAACTTTCCATAGCCAGATGACGTGTACTACTGTGGAATAAAATACATCAAAGATGATGTCATCTTAAATGAGCCTTCTGCAGATGCCCCAGCTGCTCGCTACCAGACAATTGAGGAAAACATAAAGATCTTTGAGGAAGATGAGGTTGAATTCATCAGCGTGCCTGTCCCAGAGTTTGCAGATAGTGACCCTGCCAACATCGTTCATGACTTTAACAAGGTGAGCCAGCTGTTCAGAGCTGTAAAAAGAAAGTTAATTAATTTTTGCTTTTTGCAGTTTTAATTTGTGTTTGCTAATTTATTCTGTATAGAGTTTACTTTTTACTTTTAAAAAATGGACTTAGTTTCTTCTGCTATACAAGATAAGCTGTCAGCATTTAATGGGCTCTTTCTTTATCTGAAGCAGAACCTTAGTGAACCTGACCTTCTCTCATCTTAATTCTCTCCCCCTACTTTTTCAATTTTTTGGTCAGTTGTTTTGATATCTGTACAACTTAGGGGTTTGAAATACTACTTTGTCTTCTATTTTAGTGTGTAAACACTTTGAGGCAGTTCTTTATGACTGTTTCTTCTTAACTATTCTTCCTTTGCTGGTTGTTTTTTACTTCTTTTTCTCACATTTGACACATCATCCTTAGAAACTTAAGCGGCTATCTCTTTTCTCACATAACTATGTCATTATCATATATAAGAAAAATAACATGTTTTTATAGTATTTAGTATCTAGTTGATGTTTAAATTTCCTCAATAAATTTTGTGGTAGGAATTTTTTTTAACCAGGACTTAGAGATTCAGAAGTTCACATATTATATGTGGCTTTTACATCTGATTATAAATTTGCCATTTTACACACAGGCATTATCACTAAAGTTAGCTTTGCAAACATTTCATGCCCAATAAAAGCATCTGAAGGATATTTATAAGCCAATTTGAAAAATTATTTACTTCAAGGCATAAGCCTTATCCAAAACAAATAGTAAATAACAATAGCTAATACTTACTGAACTCTTAGAAATGTAAATGTGATTTAACTCATTTTAATTACGTAATGTGATTTAACTCATTTTAATCCTTAAATCCACTGTATGAGAATTTTTCTCAACCAGGGTTCCTCATATTGACTATTATTCTGTTCTCTAAGAACAGTAGTAAGTAATACTATTCTAGATCCATAGAAAATCAATTAATGATGGACACCTTGGAGGGCATTAGTGAACTAACCGTATCTCTTATTCAGATGACAGGTTATTTGCAGTTGGTTACAATAGATATTATCACTTATTATAGAAAGCAAATTTGTAGTAACAATTTTGACTAATAGCGGTAATTTTTCCTCTCCCATTGCTATTCCATCCCTGTCCTAGCAGTTTTTAATTTGTTGAAATGCAAAGTGGTATACATATTCCAAAGCCATCCTATTTTAATGTTACAAATTATGAAAAATCCAGTTGCTATGCCTGTATTACAAATAATTATTCTAACTAAAATGTATCTTTTTTTTCCTCCCAGAAACTCACAGCCTATTTGGATCTTAACCTGGATAAATGCTATGTGATTCCTCTGAATACTTCCATTGTTATGCCACCCAGAAATCTGTTGGAATTACTTATTAACATAAAGGTAATAAAATTTTTAATTATTTCTTATTAATGGTGCTGTTACAATATCGTGGGATTACTCATTGTTAAGTTGGCCCCTCTGATCAGAAATATAGCTAAAAGAAAACCAACACTTGTGGTTTGTAGTTTTTTTGTTCTTTTAATATTTTTTAATCTTGAAATAAAATACTTTCCTAAATTATGATAAAAGTTTTCTTAAAGGGCTAGATAGTAAATAGCAGGCTTTCAAGAAATAAGAGCTATATTAACTATTTACTTCTGATGCTGCAGACAATATGTAAACAAATGGGCATGACTGTATTTTAATAAGATTTTGTTTAAAAAAAGATGATGGGCAGGAGTTTGCCAACCTCTGTTTTATACTATAATCTCTAAGAATTTTGCCTGTTTTCCCCTTCTGCTCTTCTGTATGTTTTTTATATTCATGTAATAAGTTCTTTTCTAAATATAGGCTGGAACCTATTTGCCTCAATCATACCTGATTCACGAACACATGGTTATCACTGATCGCATTGAAAACATTGATCACTTGGGCTTCTTTATTTATCGACTGTGCCATGACAAGGAAACTTACAAACTGCAACGCAGAGAAACCATTAAAGGTAATACATTTCAGTGTGTTAATATGTTGGCAGAGAAATTCATTGTTCTCTTCATTGTATTAAACTAGATTTAGATGGCTAGTCTATGTTATCAATATATTTGATGTGAGTGAGAAATTTATTTAGTATCGCTGTGTAATATTTCTAGGTTCTTGAAGTATCATCATCATTCTCATTATACTCTTTTCAGATAGAATAGTTGAATGTGAAATGTCATTGCCTTGAGATGCTGTTACCTCACTTTCCAGAGTTACTTAGTTCACTTTGAACTTTGAACCACTTTATTCAGTCATACTTCAAGGGTTCTTCTTACCCATAGGGTCGCTAGAGAACAGCTATGCAGGTGTATGCACAGGGTTCTGAATTCTAAGTGTACTATTTGCCTTTTGGATCATGTTGAAGATAGTCACAAGTTAGTTAGAAAGGGAATTTGGCTAAAAATTAAGAGCATTAAAACAACTAATGTAGCTTTGCCAAATCATTTAACCTTTCTTATCTCACCTGAAAAATAAGGATGACATTTTCTCTCCATTGCCTTTCAAGATCATTGTAAAAATAAAATGAAAATGTCTGTGATGGAGTTGTAGAAAGTAAGACTGCCATCGAAATACACTATGGTGTGGTTTCTTTGAAATTACAACACCTGGGAAAAGTACTCTGCCAGCTTTTTGTTGGCACTTTTAATAATACTGTTCTCACCTTTGGCTGATGATGAGTATATACATATAATGAAATTTACCCTCTCTAGGGTACAGTTTTGAGTTTCAACAAATCAACACCAAAGTCAAAATATGGAATATTTCCAATACCTTCAATATAAATGTATATGCATGGCATTATTACTGTTACTGAGCTCTGTTAAGATACTTAGTTCAGGAAAGAGAGGAAAATTACTTTCTCTAATGTTAAAAAAAAGTAGAAGTTCACGGAATATAGAGTAAAATGCTTCTATATGTCTAAATAATAACTGAGGAAATGTGAATATTACAAAAGAACCAGGTTAAATAAACTTTTCTTTCCCAAACAGGTATTCAGAAACGTGAAGCCAGCAATTGTGTGACAATTCGGCATTTCGAAAACAAATTTGCCGTGGAAACTTTAATTTGTTCTTGAACAGTGAAGGAAAACACGGAGAAAAAATTAATACCACAGCATAACCCCACCCGTTGTATTTTGTGCAGTGATTATTTTTTAAAATTTTCTTTTATGTAAGTAGTAAACAGGGCTTTTCATTCTTTTCATCTCTGATTCAATTAAAACCATTATCTTTTAAAAATTACTTTCTTCTTTCCAAGTGTTGGTGTCTTTTATCTTTGAATTAGTAGTTATAGGAAGTCACAGATAATAGTACACTTCACCCTAGGCTTTAGTTGTTAGGAAGAATTTGAATTTCTTTAAATCATTTATCCAATTTTTATGTTTTAATTACATATTTTCAAGAGAAGGGGTTATCTAAAGAATAATCATATATATATACATACATAAAAATGGACCACAGTGACTTATTTGTAGTTGTTAGTTGCCCTGCTGCTTAGTTTGGTAGAGCATTTGAGCACACATTTTAATTTTCTTCTAATTAAAATGTGCAGTATTTTCAGTGTCATATTTAACTATTTAGAGTTGATGTTTTAATATCCTAGGCATCTGCTGTAATAATATTTTAGAAAATATTTGGAATTTAAGAAATAACTTGTGTTACTAATTTGTATAACCCATATCTGTGCAATGGAATATAAATATCACAAAGTTGTTTGACTAAAGGTCTGTGTGTTGTTTTTCTATATGTTAAAACCAAAAATAATTTGGTTCTTCATATTTTAAGATGATCCATATAAAGGAAGAAACTCTTTAAAAATCCAGTTCTCTTATATAGAGTGGGTGAAATCACATATTTTTGAAAAATAAAAACTTAAAATAACTAAACTGCATTCTACATGGATACTATTAAAGTAATACCTAAGACTAATCCATGGGAAATTGCTGTTTCATATCTTTCAAAATAATGCTTTTGTATTAATTAAAGGGCTATTATTAAACCTAGTTTCTAAGGAACATAAAATTCAGTGCTAATCTGAGAATGTCTCCCTCATAAATGGAGCATTTTGAGTTAAGGTGGTGATTCTTGTGTTTCTAAGACTCCTTCCTCTGAAATAATTCAGACCCCGCCACAATTTAAAGTAAGTAATTTCACTACAAATTCCTAAAACAAAAACATCATTTTTGATTTAGTAAGTTAAAATATCTGAAGTTTCACAAACTCAAAAGGATTTGGTCTTGAAACCAATTCTAGTTCCAAAGGATGTATTACTTAATTCTTGGCTATTTTCTGTAATATTGTAAGAGCTTTAAGGCAACTCATCAGCTATTCATGGATTGAGTATTTTGGAAGAATATATTCAGATGAGATGAAAATTGTCTTTTCTTACCTTTCAGGCTTTATATTTTTATGGTGTTTTAAGGGGCTATAAACAGCTAGGAGTGCATTATTTATCTCTTCAGCTAATACTTTGTGAGCATTCTTTATATGGCTGTCACATAGCATGAAGCATAGAAAACATATTTGTGAAGAAAGACAACTGGTACTTTATTAGAGAATCACAGACCAGTGGAAGGGACTGATGAATAACCAAGCACAATACCTGATCAGTATACTGTGATGGCAGAGAACAAACTCTGGAGCTTTGGAAGTGTTAGGAAGGCCAGTGAGGTTTTTTTGAATGTGAAGTGTATGGGACAAGGTCCTGGGGGACCTTGTCTATCACCCTGGAAATCATTCAGTATATCATGGACCACTCACTATTGAAGATTTGTATTTTGGAAGGGCCATTTCCCACTGATAATAGGAATGGTGTATTAGGATAGATGAACTGCTGTAACAACCCCAACATTTGAATGACTTCAGACACCACTTTATCTACTTTCATCATGCTCCAGTGGGCAGGCAGACTCCAGAGATGCAGTCTTCTCCATCTTATGACAATGCCAGCTTTAAGTCTCCAAAATGTGGAAGAAGTTCTAGAGTGGTAGATCTTACAGGAATTAAGACCAGACCTGACACACATCACTTCTCCCTGTTGCATTGGTCAGAACACAGCCAATGGTGATGAAGATGGGAAATTGTAATCACCATGTATGTCCAGGAAGAGAATCAGAATGATTAACAGAATTTTCTGCCACAAATGGATAGAATAAATGAGTCAACAAAAATCTTTAGAAAATGAAGATCATCCACAATCCCATCACCCAGAAAGAATAGATTTTTTTGCATGTTTGTGTTTAGTAACTTACTGCAGTATCAACATGTTCCTGCTAGATTTGGAATCTACATAAAAGCACAAAAAATAGAAGTTACATATTCCCTACCATAGTCAGTGCTTTTTTTTGTTGTGATATATGTTTCACTATTGTGTACAAAAGGAAAATCTTCACTGTTTTATTATCTCTTCCACTTATAAAATCTTTCCCATATCACTGAAAATTCTACATTTTTAAAGGCTGCATTACATTTATCATGAATGTGTTGTAATTTTCTAGTAAGTTCTTGGACATTTTTGTAATTTTTGACATTTGTCATTTGAAATGCTGAGATAATGCTCATGTGTATGTGTGGGTATATACATAATTTACATCTGTTCCTACAATTACTTTTCCTTTTGCATCTGCTTTTCAAAAAATTACCCAAGTAATAGATAGCAGATAGGTAGAAATCAAATAGAATCTAATTTTTCTTAAAAAAAAGTCAGTCTCCTTCTCTATGCCCAGAGCAACTCAATTTGTTCATCCCTTAATCTGTTACTTACCTCTATGTTTCTTAACAATGTTACTTTTACTATGTCTTCCTGTTCTATTTCCTTTCCTCCCCTTAGTGCATTAGTAGGACTTCAATAAGATGTTGAAAAGGAGTGATAAGAGGCAACATCCCTACCTTTTTCTGATGTTACTGGGAAATCCTTAAATTTCTCACCATTAAATATGATGTTAGCTGTAAATTTTTGTAGTCTTCAAGTTGAGGAAGTTCCCTTTCTTCCTAATTTACTTGAGATTTTTTGTCAAGAATGGATATTGGATTTTATAAATGTTTTTTCTCCAGCTATTGATAAGATCATGTAATTTTTCTTTATTTGTTGGTGTGATGTATTACATTAATTGATTTTTGAATGTTCGACCAATCTTATGTACCTAGAATTGAGAGTGGTACATGATTCCTTTTATACTTTATGGATTAGATTTGCTAATAATTTGTGTGTCATGGGTGGGGGGGAGGATAATTTTGCAACTTTCTTCATAGGAGATGCTGGTCTATAGTTTTCTTAAAATGTTTTTGTGTGGTTTTGTTTCTGGGATAATACTGGCTGCACAGACTGAATTAGCAAGTATTACTTCTATCCGTTGAAAGCACAGAGAACTGGCATAGTTTCTTTTTCAAATATTTAGTGGAATTCACCATTGAACACATCTGGACCTGTGTTTTAGAAGGTTATTATATATGAATTAGATTTCTTTAATAGATATGGGCTGATTGAGATCATCTTTGCTGGCTTACATTTTGACAGATTGTGTTTTTCAAGGAATTGGTTCATTTCATCTACATTGTTAAATTTGGGGACATAAATTTGTTCATAGTTTTCTTTTATTCTTTTACATGCTATCTATACTGTTATCTATACTGATACCTTCCTTTCCATTTCTGATACAGATAACTGGTGCCTTTTTTCCCAACCTGGCTAGCTTATCAATTACATTAATCGTTTCAAAGAACCAGCTTTTTTTGGTGGTGTTGATTTTTCTCTATTGATTTCCTATTTTTAATTTCATTGATTTCTGTTCTAATTCTAATGTTTTCCTCTTACTTTGGATTTAATTTATCCTTTTCTAGTTTCTAAAATGGAAAGTTAGGCTACTGATTTTACATCTTTCTTTTCTAATGTATGCATTCAAAGTATAAATAAATTAGGTATAGGGTAAATTTAGTTCAATCAGTAATCAGGATGGACCTTACTGTGACTTAATTATTTGACTCAGAAGTACTGCTTTCTTTTAGTTGTCTTTTACTTTTATAATTTCTAATAAATCTGTTCACAAGAATTCCAAGCTTCTCTATCAGATTTGTTACTCATTCATACTAGTATTTTTTTTTTTCAAACACTAAGACATCAATTGTTCCCTTTTCTTGGAGACCTCCCTAGAACTCAGTCCTGCTAAATTCTGAACTACTAGCTGTTGTTGCTTGCTGCCCAGTGTGTAATTTTGGCACTTTGTCACTTCCCCATGGGTTTATTTTTCATTCTCTGTTTACCAGACCTTTCACCCCCTCCCCTTTCTTGACTGGTACACATTTTCAGTTAGCTTCATAAGAAAGCATGAATGAGAAACACATTTCAGATGTTATTCAGAATTGTAATCTGTATGGGGCCCCTTTTTAACTTAGAATTCGGGGGGACCTTTATGCTTATTTTCTGATGTTTCACAGTGATCCTCTTCATTGGTCTTCATTCAGTTTGTAAAATGTTAGCTCTTCAATAATGTCTTTCCTTCTTTCTGATAATTCTGTCATCTGTTGGACTCCCTACAGTGATTCTTGATGCATCTCTGCTTGACCATTTTCTTATGTGTTCTTTACAGAGTTCACTGATTCTATTTCTCAGTTCTTTATTTTCTGTTCTTCTTTCTATCTCTAAATGTTGGTATATGTTTTGGTGGTGCTGAAACCTCTATTATTATCCATCAGTGTTTTTTCTCTATCACTGGAAACATTTCATTCTGCTTTTTGCACCTTCAGCTGGAATTTTATTCTTCCCAACTACCTGCCAATAATAGATTTATGATGTGCTCATACAAAATGACTGCCGGCCATTTTGTCTCTTCAAACTACCTGGTTAGCATGGACATTCTTTCCATGTACACCCCTGAATTATTAGACTTGAAGGTTTATTGCTACCAGTAATTAAACTGATTGCTTAAATTAAAAAGGCTTTTACTTTTTTTTACAGCATAATAGTTTCATTAAAATTTATTTATTCTTAAAGATTTATTTATTTATTTATTTATTTATACAAGCACTGGGTACAGTCAGAAGCGCGGGAGAGTTGAGAGAATTCACCAGAGCCAGAGCGGGGAGCAGAGCAGGCAGAAGGACCGAAGTACACTGCTGAGGGGAGCAGCGGGCGGCAGGAGAGGTCTGCACGCCACGTGGGACCCTCCTCCGGTGGCCGGGGAGCAGCCGGGGATCGGGGATCGAACAGGAGCTGCAGAGGCTGCGGGCAGCTTCGCAACCCAGCACTCAACCGCTGCGCCACCGGGGAGGCCCTTCATTAGATTTAAAAAAAAAAGATTTCTGTATGATCATCTTAAAAGCCCTAGCACTTCTTCAAAATACTTAAAAAACAATCATTAATTTAACCAGATTAGTCTAATGTGGTACCCATGATTTTACTTCATTTCCTTCATTTCCAAGAAGACAACTATGCTTATTTAGAGTCAAGTGAATAGTGGTGCCCCTATCACCCAAGCTCTACCAGTCAAACTAAGAATTTTGGAACTCCAACTGAGATTCTAGACCATACACGCTGATGCACGCCATGCCTGAGACTGCAGTCTTGGTGCCATGGGCTTGAAAAAAACAGGGATGTGATTAAAGAAATGACAATAAGGCAGGCAGAGAGGATTGCAGTTTCTGATGGGCTGTAGGGAGATTCAGCTTTACTTCCCTTTCCCTGAGTTCTAGAAAGCACTTCATCTTGTGTATGTCTCTATTTACC